ATGAAGCCAAATAAACTGCAACATGATCTCTAGACCATGACAAGTGCCTTAAAAAACAATATGTTTTTTTTCACATTTGTGCAATGAGTTTTGAAATGTTGTTGTTGAATCTAGTTTTGACAAGTAAGTCTGTTCAGACTTCACTGATGACTCAGACTTGTCAGCTGCCAACCCGAACCTGGGAATTGTTCAACTCCGACAGGCTGATATCTTTTCAGGCACAGGCTGGAAATAGTTTTAGGTTAAATGATTAATTTGGTGGGCTTGGTACACAGTTATCTCCCAGAATGCTAAAACATTACAGTTTGGTTGGGAACAGCGACTTTACCCATTTACTGATGGGGAACGATAAATTGGGACTTAAACCTAACCAAAGGAGTCATGGCCACAGCTCATACTTAACACAACAGAAAAAAAGAAACATTAAAACTGACTGTAAGTCCAGAGCAGAGTCCTAGCAGCTCTGTGAGGCTGTACTTGAGCGAAATGCACAGCTGCTCGACAACATGCTCACAATGACAATGCTAACATGCTGACGATTAGCAGGTCATTTTCACATGATTTACCATTATAGTTAAGCGTGTTAGCATGCTGACTGATTTTTGGTCATAAACAAAAGCATTTGGCAAAATTTGACCTGATGGTGGCGCTAGAGGAAAGATAAGGCATCATCACAATCCATAAAGTAGTCAGTGAGATATTTCAGTCTGGACCAAAGTGATGGGTGTACCATCTCTGGAATCAATCAAGAAATACAGTAACACTAAACCTAACTGCTGCTATATATACACTATACACAACAAAATAAGAAACTTGTATTGTCAAGATGTATCACACTTAATGGTATTTGATGTGATAAAAATAAGTCAATGTTAAGAATGTTCTCATGAATAAAACCAACCATTAAGTACTACTTGTAAAACTAAGTAAATATTTGAAGCAGAAATGACATCCTATTAACACAGTTCTGTACCAACTTCACTACTGAGTAACGTCTGCCTGTTTCACCTCTGACCACATCCAGCATCACTGATCAGGGTTTTTTCAGGGTTCACAAGTTAATTTAACACTTTTTTTAAGACCATGTGATCTATTGGCAGAAATGGAATGTATTCATAGGTGTGTTTTTATTAGCGTATAATCACCTAAAAAAGATTACTGTTGTGTTTTCACCTTAGAATGAGCTTTTTTTAACTATAGAGGGAGCAAGTTGCCTTCCATGGAGTCCACTCTGTTAAACTGCTACAGTAGCCCAGAATGGACAAAACAAACCTTGGCTCTAGAAAGGGCTTTTTCCGTGTTAGTTTTGTGGCCGCCACGGTTTCTCTTTAACGTTTGGAAGGGGAAGGTGAAACCAGAGAGTTACAATCTCAATCGGTCCTTTAAGATCACATAGAAGGCAACTGAATACTGGTTTCTGGCATGATATTATATCTGACTGGAGCTACAGCCTCTGAAATATTTGTAGTGCTATTAAAAACACTGACAAGCTCCTCTGTGGTGAAGCCCAGGAACAGGATGAATTTAGGGGGTGGGAGTAAACCAGTGTGGGGGTTTGGGATCAGGAGTGAGGAATGGAACCTGGAAAAGCACTGCCTTATATCTGATCATCATGATGAGACAGCAATTTCAACCAAATTCCCGTCTTCCAGAGAAACCGCAGGAGAGCACAGAGTGTATGTCCTGTGTAGTGGATGGGATGCTTGACATATTGGGCAAGATTCAAAAGATCTAAAAGTCAAAAGTAAACCAGGAGGATGAGGGGCAATAAACATGGATATTAAAATGACCAAGAATAAGGACTCTGTCTGTAACATAATGACTGAAAAAAAAAAAGACCTGAAAATTCCTGAATAAATTCCCGATTTGTTGATTAAAACACATAAAATGTTCAATTTATTCTTTAAAATACAACCAAGACTCTCAAAGGTGGAGAAGCAGCCGAGCGAGATTGGTAAACAACTAAAATCATTTCTGTGTATTACTGCAAGGCCAAACTCTCGGCCTGTTAAACTTCTGAAAAAAAAAAAAAAGTCTGGGTGGTCATGATTCATCGAGAGCGACACATTCATCAGGATTAATCCAAGACTTTGGTATGGTTAAAAAAAACAACTATATTTTTGTTAACGATAAAACCCTGACAGAAGATTTACCAGCAAGGGATCTTACAGTAAGTAAACCGAAAAGAGCTGATTCAACAGAGGGGGTGGAAGACGTGGCTTTAACAGTGATGAGAATATTTCTGTGCGGACTGAGCCGTACACCTTTACATCACTGCAGCAGAGAATCAGCAAAAACAAGATTTTACTGTTGTTGAATCCTCGATGCTCATACTTTCAAACAGGATGTGAAACCGAACAGTCCTGACTGTCACACACAGATCAAAGTGTCTTCAAAACTCTTCTTAAAAAGAGAGTTTGATCTAATATCAGATATTTGTGGGTTCCAGGGTGGAACCAACGGTCACAAACAGATGTCACTTTGGTTTCATTTTTGATGGTGGTTGTGAGGGGAGAAAATTCCCCACGGCGGTATCTACGTTCTTCATTCATGTTCCAATGAATATGCATTAACACGTTCTAGCAGAACAAACATACATTCACACACAGTTACAGGATGTAGGCTCGCAGCAATTCATGACAGAACCACCTGTCAAACCAAATATTTGCTTTCATTAATGCTGAAGTTCATTTATTTACCTCAATCAGCCTCTGCTCAGTGTGGAGAAACACACCACAGGCCTGTCAGTGTGCTAACTGAAGCCTCTTATACTAGTAAAGCGTACTAGTAATGTGTATTTGAGTATAAAATTCTATGATGATAACATTATAATTTATAATTTATTGTTGCCTTAATAAACATGACTAATACTTATGATTTAATTTTTTGTGCCATTGCCTATTTAAAACCGATGTCATCAGTGATCTAGTACTGTAGTTCTTCAGAATTAAAGTAGGTGGGTGGGTCAAAGATACTTAATGTCAGACCATAAGCCATGCCACCTCATTTACATAAAACTCCAGAATCCAAATGACAAATGGAGAAAAGTAAATGTAAAGGGAAAGAGAAAACAAAACCAAAAACCAGAACAAATAGTTGTCTTCCTTTCCATTTCCAAATTAAACTTCCCACTAAGGCTTCTCAATTCCCATCTCAGATTATTCCGTCTGAATTTACATATTTAATGTCATTTCTGGATCTCCAGTCATCATTTCAGTACCAAATCGAGTCCCATTTTTAGAAGCTACGCTAGCAGCTCTGTGAGGCTGTACTTAGGCACAGGCCCTCCTATGAGATGACAATGCCAGCAGGGGCCCCAAGTCAATTTAAATGTGTGACCCCTATCAGGCAAGGGAAGGAAAGCACTAACACTGTATTGTGAAGTATGGACCTTAAGCCAATTCATTTACAGCATATCACGTGGGAAATGACTAAGCTCAACAATAGTGAGTTTAAACTTATACATCACGCTGATATTTTATAGCTTTTATCACACACATCAGCTCATGCCGCTTGTTTCTAACACCATAAAAAGGTCAAAAGCTAAATGTGGGAAAAATATCTGTAGCCTATGTGGCAGGTAACTGTGTGTTAAAGAGATGACATGTTTCACCCCAATAAAAACACTAGTATGGGGACAAAGACAGTGAAAGTTTGTCAGTTTTGGTATAAGGAAATGTTAAATGCTTAAGTTTGCTTAAGTTTAACATTATGTACACTATCGACTATAATCAGGTCTTATGTTAAAAAGGCCAAATCAGATGAATCCTTGGGAAAATAACAGTGAAAAAAAAACTTACAAGTAATGTTAATTCCCTTGGTGCACTTCAGTACCTCAGTCGAATTACAGAGTACAAAAGTAAATTACACCCTGTGTTGACTTAAGCGGCAACATTGTGTGTTAAGGGGGAACCAGAGAATTGAACATGAGCGGATGCCGTTTCATCATAAAAACAAAAGCTGCCACAAAGAAAGGTGCTTATTAGCATGTGAGCTGCCAACTTGGAAGAAGCTGCTGCGTGTTTGTCCAGACTGTTCAGCGGCTCTCTGCCAGCATGCTGGGAGGGATGTGACAGCAGGCTGAGCAGCAGAAACCAGAACACATTTGTTCTTTCAAACACGCCTGAATGGTGCTACAAGTCATATCATAATAATAATATACCAGTCAGTATTTAATTGAGATGTTGGAAGTTGGTTATAATGGTGGTTCAATTTACAGTTTTGGTGCTTTTTAGGATACCTTGTTTGAATTGAGCCGTTTCTGGCTCCAGTCACTGAAATCTGTCCAATCAGAACAATCTGCAACTGAACAGAAAGGGCCCCCCTCAAGCAAGTTTACCTTATTTGACTCAGATGAGCTGCTGCTGTCAGTCAATCAGGCAATCAACGCTTTTCAATTAAAAAAAACGAAAGATAAATCAATTAAAGCTAAATTAATACTTTTACCGGGCTAAGAGTCCATAGACATGCTGGCAGCTCAGTGAGGCTGTGCTTCGGCACAGCGCCACTCTAAATGCTAATTCTAATAAGCCAGGAGATCGTGGATGAGCTTATTACAAATCATCATAAATGTACTGAATCTCATGGCAATCCATCCAACAGTTGTTGACATATTTCAGTCTGGACCAAAGAGGTGAACCAGCCAACCGACTGGCATTGCCATCCCTACACCGTGCCATGGCTCAAAACAGTCTGATCTCAACAATAAAGAGATAACGATAAAACAAAACAATGAATAGATACAAATGAGGAAAATCATGTTTTTTTTTGGTCATGGAAACTGAAATATATAGGACATGATATAAAATTAAACTTAAATGCACTAAAATCTGCCACCAAAACAAGATTTAAAGCTAAGCTCAGAGTTTCATAGAAAACAGATTCATGCTCAACTGTTAGGGTTGCAACACAGCCCTGTGGGTAGCCCAACTGCCATACAAAGCATCAAACCATAAAGTTAAAAACATACAAAACACAGTACATACTCTTCATTTCTGATCACTTTTCATAACATCTTTATTGAATTTGTGTCTCAGTTTTAAACATATTTACAGATACTTTAATTGTATTTTTTTTTGTTCAGTAAAAATACAAATACAGAACACTCAATTTTCAAAATCAACGTTGCTCCCAGCGACTCGATGGCCACCCAGGTTTCCCCTGGGCTTCCTCCTTATCAGAAATAGGTGGTGATGATGTCAGCCTGATGTCAGTGTGATGTCAAAGACTGGGGGATCGGGGCTGACAGCCAAGACTGTACTGCATCAATGGACTGTATGTGAGGATGATAGTGGATGGATGGATGATGGAGAGAAATGTATGGAGGGAGGGAAATGTGTTGAATGGGGGACTGGGCAGAGATATTTCCTGTATGTACACTGATCCATCCTGCAGAGGAGAGTTGAGAGGTTCCCCTAAACTTAAACTGATTAAAAATAAACTCAACATTGACGGGAAAGTTGGCCAGTAGTTTGGTCAAAGCCATTTCGCCTTCATAAACCCAACTAACATTTTGATATTTTTTTGATAACTGCTACCTACGCTGGTTTGTCAAATCAGGTCCTACATATGAAATCATCTGACAACCATTTCCAAACACGTTTCAAGTATAAGGCATATTTCATATACATTATTTTATGTTTAGTTTTTTTTAATTTCTTATTCTATTCTGTATAATTGTCACCCAATCCCATGAAGACCAAAACCAACAATGCGTTTCTCTGTACTTTCCGACTTTCCTCCCCTTCTCTGTGACTCTCATTCATTCATCCATTCATTACTAATGAAGACAATATGTAAAAACAGCTCATGTACATGAGCATGTAGTCTTATTTTCAAAAAGTAGTGTTTTTATCAAAAGTTACTTAAACAGTACATTCGTTGAGGACTATTTTCAGATGCGGATTAATACACATTTAGTGCTCTAGGGAGTATTTCTGGCAGCAGGAGGGTGTGAGTCAAAATAAAGTAGTGTGTGTTCATGGTAATGAAGGAACATCCCACCCAGAGCCACAGTGTGGTGTTCTTAATAGTAATAGGACAACAATGGCACAGGGAAAAAAGACATATCAGGCTTTGGACACACACAGACTTCTTGTTAATAGGATACATTCATTGTTAGTTTTGGTCTTTTCATGGGATTTGTTGCCAAGAAAAGAATATCTCCAGCCTCATCAGTTCAATCTTACCATTTACTATGTCTTTGTGTTAGGCTGCCAACATACTGTAATCAATTGAGAAGCATTTTGAGGCAAAGATCAAGAGCGAGATTGGGAACAACTAAAGCTTACAATTTCCATATAACTCCATTTTATCCTTGTTGCTGATTTCCTTTTTTTACAATCAGTGACTTTAATCATCACCTACAGGTAAAAACAGTTTCACATGTGTTGTGAAAGCAGTAGAGCTGTAGGCAAATTTTGCCTTCTACGTTATGGCTCTATTTAGAGACGAGCAGCTGACCTACTGCCCAACAGGGCCAATTTTAGTGAGGATGTGGGGATGTAGTGAGCTGTTAGAAAGTCAGCATTTTGATACGTTTTTAGACGTATGGATGGGCACTGAACAAAATGTTAAAGCCGCTTTCTGTTATTTTTGCCCATGTCGCCTGGTATCAAGTCAACTTTGTTCTTTATTCCATCACAATTTCCAATTTATGTGCGCGTCAGAGGACAGACAATGTTTGTGCAAACAAAAACAATAAGAAGGAATTTATATCGTCATGATGTGTTACAAAACACAAAGCAAAGAGCGTGAAAGAGCACAGTATTGGCCAAGGCGTCACAGTTGACAATAAGGCTTGAAAAAAATCAAAGTAGAAACAGACAGACACACACAACAAAGAAATCTTCTGGTTTAGGGCAATTCCTACTCTTCAGCTTCAACGCCTGCATTAAAAATCATCTTTAGTAGTGAAACCCTGCTCAGTTTCCTCTCTTTACCAAAACCAGTCAGTTGATACGCAGAGTCACATCAGAGGTTGATGTCACACAAACTGGCAGCCACAGCCTTATTTATTAGCTCACAAAATGTCTCACTTTCGCTCTCTCTAACACACACACATTTGCTGTAATGAGCCCACCATTAAGCCTGTTGTGTTTTTAAACACTAAGTGACGATAAGATAAAAAAAAACTCTACCACTACCACTATGGAGGGTGGATCAGAGAGATTTGAAAATAAAAAATTCAAAGCATTTGGTTAATGGATTGTAGTTCTTGACATTGGTGTTACAGCAACAGCAAAAAGTGGTTTAACTGATTTCATACTGAAAATCTCACTTCTAAAAAGGAAATTGTTGGTTTCATTCATGTATTATTTGCCTTCACTCAACATCCCGTCCTTCCCTCCGCTGCCATTTTGCCTCCCTGCTGGTTAAGATGTCTTTCACTTCAGCTACAATCATGACTCACAGAAAAGGTCATGGTTAAGTCCGTACAGAATCTAAAGGGGTCATGTGTCTGATGCTGCTGTCGTCCTTTAAATCTGCACTGACAGTTTTCCAGGTCTGGCTCTTGTACACCAGGGAAACACTTGCAGTATACTCCCATATTGGTGTTGAATGAAATGTGTTGACATTTAAATTCCACTTTTAAAGTGGAGTTTAAACTGACTCAGCAGCAATCTAAGTCAACAGGAATCAGATTACTTTTCTTCTCCAGCATCACTTAAGTTTGGGCAGTAAATCATTGTAGATTTTAGTATAAAAATATTGCCCAATGCCTTTTAGAGAGTCTCAGAATAATAAATGTGTAAATTCTTAAGTCAGTGTCCTGCATTCATTAAATCACCAGGGAGGACTGTTGTTTTGGTTGTTTGCTAACCTAATATATTTTGAACAGGCTGTATCTGTATCCATTACTTGAGCGAGTCGAGCAGTAAATCCTTCACGCTGCTTTGGATGGAACAGAGGCAGAACCATGCTGGTAACTGAGCAGACAGCGCAGTGTGTGGTGGCTTTGACTTATCTCAGCAGGGCTAAGGTCTTGATGGAGAACACCATACAGAGCCAGTCAAATATTCCTACTACCAAACTCTTACAGAGAGGAGAAACCCAGCAAAGGATGTGCATTTCAAACTGTAAAGATACCAGCCAAAAAATGTCCTCAGCTTCTTCACAGATATCAAGATTCTGATGTTTGATTGATGATATGATGTCAGCATTTAGCAGTTGGACAACATGATGAATGGGGTCAGATCACTCTGTACACTAGCTGGTCATGATTGTTCAATGAAATAATTAAAGCTGCAGTAGGTAAAACTATGAAACTTTCACTATATCCTGACAGTAGTACACTTTCTTCTGGCTCCTCCTAGTGCTCCTAATTGTTGTCGCAAGAATCCACCGGGCTTGAACAAAAACAACCAATCAGATGTGAAATAGATGGATATTGTTGAGTCTCGTTCCCAGGGTGTCAATACATTCTGGGACCCTGGGAATGAGAGTCAATGATCAGCTATCTTCGAGCTTAAAAAACGTCTTTATATCTTTCTCGGCTCTGATTGGTTGTTTTTGTCCAGGCCCAGTAGACTCTTGCTCTATATCAGCGCTATAATAAGCCAGAGGAACTTCATTTTTCCACAGATTATCTGTCTCATACACTACTGAATTGAACATTTCAGCATTAATGAAGTTAATGAATAATGAAATTTGTTTTTATCAAAGTCACCTACTGCAGCTTTAACACAAAGAGGAGTTTGCAACAATGTACTGAAAGTGTGGAAACAACATTTACACACTTTCAATCAAAATAGTTTTGTAATTCCCAAACAGTTTTAACATTTATCCAAAAGTTAACCCTAACCCTGAGACTAAAGGCCTCAGAGACTTTTTTATGGACAGGAGAGGTAGAGGTTAAAAGGGAGGAGAGAAGGTATAAAGTAGGATATAAGAGAGGGATGGTGGTAAAGAAAAATCACAGAGAATTTTAACACAATGATGAGTTCATGTTAAGTGGTCCAACTGGTGATATGGGGTGATATTGAACAGAGAAAATGTGTCAAGGGGGCTCAGCAGGGAAAGTCTTCATTTATTCAGCTCTTTCAGTGCTACACCTCTACTTTCCTCTTCTTTATAGTCATCCCTTACAAAGTGCACAAATAAATGATTTACAGCAGAGGTAACCACCACACACACACACACACACACACACACACACACTCATACATTAGCATGGTTGGGTTCTAGCTTCATCGCACAATGTATGACCTGAAAATGATTTGCAGTGATTTATGAAAAGGCGAGAAATAAGAAGAGATAAGAGAAGGGTTGATAAGCTGGGGGGAAATATGCGATGGTGTGATCAGAAAAAGGTGGAGGAGAGAAATAAAAAAAAAAAAGCAGCATCCAAGCAAGTAGCAGCAGAATGTTTTTGGGGAAAAAGTTGTGGCCCGGTAACGTCTCTAACTGGAAGGAGGAACTGGAAAGATGCCGAGGTGGGGAGTTGTGAAGATGGGTGACCTGCTGCTGTCCCTGTGTAATTACTGTTCCACTTACAATGGTCCACTTTTCTGAAAAAAGGAGGGTTAGGGGAGGAGATGGGGACTGTTGCCACAGCCCGCCCTCGCACTGATGATGTGACGAGCTGCTAACAGTTCCAGGTCAAAGTTCGGTCTGATGAAGATTAAACAGGAAGAGGGGGGAGGGGGGAGGGTCAGGGAGAAGCGGAGGGCTTTGATTCAACCCTGTGTCCCCATTAACGATTTGTCCAAACAAAAAATTAAAAAAAAAACAACCACAACTCATCAACAGACCCTGTAAAGTCCTCAAGTCTGTCTGCCTGGAAAAATGACACTTCCATCAGTGCAGTGTCAAACTGACTGTGTGATGCTTCACAAAACCCCATTTGCACTCTCAGTGCCTCAGCTAGAGTCTGTATTGGAGGAAAGTTTGGTCAAATCTCAAATAAACACTAAAAATAATAACAAAACAAAAAAAAAAGAAACAAAAAACCTAATCAAGCCTCCGGTTTTGGAGCTTCGGTCCTTCAGAGAAAAGAGTCAATTCAAGCCAGTCGCGAGGCTGAGCAGCAAACCCACCGTCTTTCTGATTTAAGCAGAGAAGACAGAGAGATTGACAGAGAGAGTCAAAGAGTGAAACACAGAAGAAGAGAGGGGAGACTTAACAGCCAAGTCCTCTCCGCGCTGCAGTGGTCTGTCTCTCCATCTTCTCTGGTTGATGTCTGCAGTCCAAAAGCAGTTGAGAGTCTGTAGAGCTGAATGAAAGTTTGTCCAGTGTTGGTGGGTGGGTTTTTGGGAGGGCAGGCAGACAGGTGGCGCCCCCTGGTGCTGCGGTGGTGGAGGAGGAGGGCCTGTCTGTCTACCGCTGAGCTGGCTCGCTGCCAGGCAGGGTGATGTTGCCCAGGTGGAGGACAGGTAGTGGGTGAGCCTCCGTGTTGAAGACCCAACTCTCAAACGGCATCAGGTCGTCGCTGGAGAACAACAAGTACAGATACCTAAAGGGGGTGGTGGGGTGGGGTGGTAGGCGGGAGGGATGTGTGTGGGGTGGGGATGTTGGTTGATGGAGGGAGGAAAAAGGGGGTGAAGATGAGAGGGATTGGGTAAAGGAAGGTGAAGAAAAAATAAGTGAAAAACATCACTGGCACGTACCGCACAGTGTCAGCTTAAAGGTGCAGCTAAATAAATATCAACAATGAATGTTGCCTTGCCACCATCTCCTAGGAATTTTAGCAATTGCTGTTTATTGCTTCTCTAGTGTTTGTTGACCTACATTTTTATCTTTATTTCCTGGTTTAGATTCTGTATTTGAAGCAGTTTGGCTGTCGGCTCCAAACAACAGTGTTTCTGCAGATTAAATTTAAGACTTTTTAACCTTTTTAAGAATATTATGAATGCAATTTATGACCCATTTCACTTTCAGGATATGAAGGAAAATTGGTATTAGTTCCATGTTGGTTTTGTTTAGCAGTTGTTACAACATGATCAATACAAACTTCTCCCAAATATACATTTAAAAGACTGAAAATGCAACCTCATACATGTATAGTTTACCTTATTAATACAATCAATTTTTAAGACCTGTCTAAATTATTTTTAAGACACCTTAAGGCCTAAAAATCTAATTATTGGATTTTAGACTTTTTATTACCCCACAGACACCCCTGAAATAGGGATCAGAGCTCCACTTGGCTGTCTCCTTCGGTGTGTTATTTCCAGTCATTAGTCTAAACAGAGTTGACAGGAGCTGACTTCCTAACTTCAGTGAAGTATCGGACAGTTATTAAAGATTTCGCCATAAATCATATTCCAAAGACAGAAAAAGGGCTGCGAATTTCAGCCTGTATATGAAACTACTTGCTTTGGTAAACAGTTTAGTGGCTCTATTTTCTGGTCGTTAAGGACTCATGTTGGTCACTGTTACCTGTACACTGTGTGTTGCCTTAGCAACCTGCCTACCAGGGCATTGATGTTTCCACAGTCGTTTTGATTTCATTTGCACCTAATCGTAATCCGTGAGAAAAGTTATTTGATGTTTTCTGTAACTATAAATGCTTTTCACAGTATATCACATACTTATACCGTACATATAGAAGAAATGTGATTCTTCATTTACTATACCTTTCAATTTCCCCAGCATCTACCTGTTTGTATTTTTGTACAGACTCGAGTGTATGAAATATTATTAACACATTCACTTGGTTTGGAATTCTTTATACAATCTAATAACATTAAAATAAAGCTGAGAAACACACACGCTGCTGTAATTAAGCTTCACATTTTAAAAATAATCATCTAACACACAATCCACAAAACCCAAGGTTTTGGATGCTACATCTTTGTGCAGATCGGTGTGACTGGCAGCCAATCAGCAGCCTGTTTAACATAGAGTGCTGTAATGCTTTGATGTGATTGGCTCGCAGCCAGCAGGGACAAAGACTGAGAACAGACAGACACCAAAGGCTGCACCAACCGAGGCATTCAAATGTCATCGTCTCAGAAAGTTACCAGCCAGTGTGGTGGGTGACCTTTAACGAATTCTGCATCAAAGACTAATTTTACTGGTATCTGATGATTTGTGGATGTTCATTGCAGACACATTTAAGTTACAAACTTAGGGCTGATAAGTAGCTTCCTGCTAACACAAGGGCTCACAGAGCAGGCAATAAAGCCCAGTTTGCTCTGTTTTCTTCATCTTTGACCTGTCACACTGTTTGATAGACACTAACAACTGCGCACCATGAATTGTATCTGGCCACTTTACATGTACAGTATTGCCAGGAGGGGATAACATTTAAAAAACTACCAGCAGGGGGAATCAGAGAGCCACATTAGGCTTCACTTAACCCTCTGGGTCAAAGTCTGCATTCAGACTCCCTTCATCCATCACTGGTGATGATGTACCAGAGACATCAGAGCTGCCTTTTACATTACATTGGCCTTTAAAATACTTTGTGGCAAAAAACAGAAATGCAAAGAAATAACAACAGATGCCAGTGTGTTACTTATTATGACCCCTAGAAGAGTACAGTTGACACGCAACACTTAAAGGAAAGTAAGGGTTCTGTGGTCAGGTAATGTAATAGCCACAATAAAAACGTAAAAAAACAGAAGCTTGTGCCGTGTGCAGCATGAAATCAGATTGCAGTTACTCATGTCGTGATGGAAAAAGGCCAATTATTGACTGACTTCTTTGTTAAAACAATTTAAATGTATTTGTGCTGTAAACAGATACACTGACCGCGCTTCGGTGGTATTTCTGACAAAAGCAGCTGCTCAACAAGTGTTTGCTGTGGTATTAATCACGGTATTTAAACCCAAGTAGGTGTTGAAGGTCTGTAACTGACTATGCTATTGCCTTTAGGTTTGCAAAAGATTTTTCTGCTCATTTATTCTGAAAAAAAATCGACAAATTACCATTAAGTGTTGCAATCACTTTTCACTGACAAGTCCTTTCAACCAGGCAACCCACCACCCACCCACCAAAACATTGTATTAATCATGAAAGTATTTAATTAAATCAACACACGTACTGATGACTGCTAGATCGAGCCAGTAAATCAATGTATTAGTGGCTTACTTGAGCGTCTCAGCCAGGAAGAAGCTCTGCTGCACGTCATCGTAGGTTGGGTTGGAGGAGTAGACGTCCTTCACCCCCGAGAAACCTCCACTCACCCTGCAGTACTTATCAATGGCCTGGAGGAGACAAGGGGAGAGGGAAGGAAATTAATGGGTGAGGGAAGAGAAGGTAGAGAGAGGAATAAGAGGCGGAGGAGTTAAGGAGACAGAAAAAAGATGAACAGAAAGGAAAATAAAATAAAGACAAACAGTGCAAGTGGTGGGGTAGAAAGGAAAAAGGAAGGTAGAGGTAAGGTAGGAAGATGGAAATAATAAGGTAAAAGAATGACAGAAACAAGGAGAGGCAAAAGAAAAAGGGCAAAGAGAAAAGGTGGGGGATGGAGAGCACGATTTTAATAAGCTTTCAAAAGCATGCTATAATTAATTTCTTTGCTTGTGACAGATTAGAGCGAGTCCTGGGGAGACACATACAGGAAACAGCAGCTGTAGAAAATGGGAGGAAAAGAAGATTAGCACAAATGCCTCGCCCTACCTCGCCTGCATTTACATTTTATTCTCTAAAATGTTCTTTTCGTCCCTCATCAACGCGAAGCAGCTTCATAATGAGGGAACACACATTTCTTTCATGTAATGCTGTATATGAGGGAGCTTCTGCGTTAGGTAAAAGTTTTGCTTTATGCGAGGCAGAGCCTGTGGCAGTCTCTCAGGGGTCGTTTTACAATCTCCTAATCAGGCTGCCTTTGCACCTTCGTCTGCAGATTTCTAAAGAATGGCAAAATAAGAGCTGATTGGAAACGGTGAGATGTTTCTTTCTAAACATGCCTTTTGTTCTCCATTTTTAGTGTTTCTTTTTACTGTCGGTCTGTGATTAAGGAAATAACAGCTTTTGAACTTGTAATCTGTGCGTGCATGGATTTTAAGCTACACTCTACACTAGACATTCTCTTGAAATCGCACTAAAAGACGCAGTGTCCAGTCTTTTAAAGACAGATTTAAGGCACTTTTGTAGGTGGCTTGACTTGTGATGGAATCCTCCCCCCCGGTCCATTCACTTTGGATTTCTAGGGTTTATCTCCAATCCTCCAAACACAACAGATGTGATTTCAGTGTTTCAACAACAACTACAAAAACAACAAAGATGGATGACAGCCAGTCAGGTAACAGCAGAGCCTGGACCACTTTAGAGGTATGATGCATTTTCCTTGCTGCAACTCACAAACACCTCCAGAGTAAACGACAATAAACAATAGCAAGTTGTTAATGGCTTGTTGCATCCAGTGTTGTTGGTCAGAAGAAACTCTGTCACCTCTGTTACTATCACAACAAATGCTGCGGTGAAAGCAAATAAACAAAAACCTAATTTAACTATCTCTGATGAATGATACATTTCAATGATTTATTTGACTTTCTTGCTGATTTCCATTCCAATATCAAAAATACCACCGTGGATAAAAACAAGGTTTACACGTTAAGAAATAATTTAACTGCTGTCCTGCTGATGATTTTTATTTCTGAGGATCTGGCAGCCAGCTACTTTACGGTTGCTAATATCATAACCAGTTAATCCAGATTATGAAACAGATCACACTATATTAAAGAGTGGCAAATCAGTGGGCCAAAAAAAAAGGGTGTATCCTCTATTTACTACAACTAAACATGTCTAATTTGTGAGCTCTCCCCTTCTACACACACAAGGTTGGCAATACCTCATTCGTCCAGTTGCTGATAGTGACAGTACGCCATTACCTGTGTGCTCTATTGATTTACAATGAGGACTTGTTACAGTGAAATTGGTGCCTGCATAAATATTCTAGCTGCATTACACTCCTGCTCATACCTTATCGACTTTCACTATTAACGCATGTAATTGAAAGCATTATCTCTGTCCTTGTCTTTCAGTCTCTCGCTCACTCTCTCTCTCACCCACACCCACACACACACACCCGTCTTCTCCCTCCATCCTGTCCTCGAGTGACCATTTTGCTGTCAGCAGATTTCCGTCGCAAGGAGTTTGGGCCGTAATTCCTGTTATTAATGGGCTGCTACGGCCCAACACGCATTTGCCCTTCTGGATCCACACTGCGGTGTCCCGCAACGGCCTGTGTAGTGTAGACACACACCAATATCAAGCTTATATATATCTTTAAGTATATCTTTCATTATGTCTGGATACTAAAACAAAACAAGTCATTTAAACATGAGTCACATTTGCGTTTAAACAAATGCTCAGCAGTCTGGAAACTTCAAATCTTCTTACTGGCTTACATTATACCCAGTACACACACACACAACACACACACAACACAACACAACACCAACCACGACCATCTGTGCTAAATAAATGATCTGATAAAAAATCTACCTGTAGGAGGAGTAGGAGGAGCAGTGTGTCTACAGCTACTAAGTGAGGACACATTTCACATTACAGCAGCTGGGCTTCACCTTCTCACAACAACAACGCAGACGAGAACACAGACACGATCTATGTGGCGCGCACACACCACGGACTTTGGGAGGATAAAAGGTGGGCCAGTAGTCTGCTGCTGGAAAAAAAAAAACAAAAAAAAAAAAAAAATGGTAGGAGTTGTGTGTGGCTTGATTCCGTGTATGAGAGCGAGAGTCAGGTATGAGGGCCCCCACATTAGATGGGCGCGCGCGCCTACGCTTGTCAGGGAAGGTTTATAGTCATCCAGAGGACCCAGGACAATGGCGGTATCTCGCAAGTCTGTCACAGGGCATTATACATCTGTAGGTGGCATAGGCGCTGTCCATACGCTGGGAGGATAAAGGGACCATAGAAGGGGAAGATGAGATACTTGCATTGTTTGGGGCACAAGAGTGGTTGAGTTTCTTTGTTGAATCTCTCAGGAGCAAGTCCATCCGTCACTGTGTTCGTCTCTCATAGTGAGAGAAACGTTATACTTGTACCGTGGTGCAGAACTACAACCGGGTATAGGAAAAAATGCTCAAGGAGAAAGTATTGAAGAATATAAATGGAAGTACTCACATGGACGCTATTGTGATAGACAAAAAAGTACGGACACTTTAAGAGCATGATGACTTCGCAGGTGTCAGTCACTTATCAGCTGCTCTAGGTGGATACTGTATCCATCGTTAGAGCTACAGCAGTTTACTGTGATCTGGGATAGTACCAATCATACTTAGTAAGCTTGGAAATACTGGTATGGTACCGTAAATATGTAATGGTGCCTAAATGACGTTCCTACTTTGTTGATAATAACCTCAGTGATAAACGCTCGTCACGTATCTTTTGATCACAGCTAGAGTGATATATTGCGTAAATAATTTATACATATACATTGATGCATTGTTCTTGTAGTACTTGTTGAAGCACTGTACTGATGCTGTTGGGTACTATTGTACTGGGTACTGTTTGTTATAACATGCCCAGGGACTATAGATGAAAAGTAGCTTATTCAATAACACTGGTACATTTACATTGAAGTGTAAACTGCTGGTATATAGAATAAAATAAAATAAAATAAAGTAAAATGTAGTATGGAATTGGGATAGTATGCATATCCATAACAGACTGTGAATTGGAGAGAAATTCAGTTCATAAGAACCAGGGATTCAGAGCCTTTGGGGTTACTGATTCCTGAAAAATGATGTTTGATCCAGACAACATACACTGGTTTCCTGAGTGTCAATGCATGGGCATAGTATTTACTATATGTTGGACTTTATAAAGGACAACCAAAATAATTATGGTATAAAATGTGTAATTATGAAAAGAAAGTAACTTAATGTTTAAGAGGAAGTCAGTACCAGAATCAGCTAAAGCTAGCACATTTATGTACTGCAAAAACAAGTGAATTTCTTTTTAAATTGATTTTTCTTTTAACAAAAAGAATATTATAAAATACAAAAAACAGTTGTCATCAACAGTGCATCAACCTACATCTGCAGGAAATAAAGGTGGCTTTTCCATTCAAATGTATTTTCTCTGATTCCCAAATACTATAACAACAATATTAAATGGAAACCCAGTGAGACAGTACGTCAGACAACACCTTTTTCTTTCATTTCAAATGCTATCTCAAAAACTTTGCTTTAGCTTAGTAACTTTTGAATATCAATGTGACAAACAGACATGAAACTATAGATCAGCTAAATTAAATAGGATCAGCACAAAGTATAGGTTCTGTAATCTGGATTAGTATGCATATATATACACAATATTAAATAATGCAACAGAGGCAAAGATGAGCCCTTCAGCACCAGCTCTCTTTAGTGTCACTCAAACTGGGTGCAATCACACAGCATAAACACACTTGCCAATGTATTTGCTTGGCACATGGGCGCGAATGCACTTACTCCCACTCAGAAAAACAAAGAGAAGTAGTTTCACTGCTCACAAGTGGAGGAAAAAGGTGACAAGAAGATTGGCAGGAGAGAGGGAAAAAGGAGAGTATGAAAAGTGTCAGAGAGAGAGAGAGGGGAAAAAAAAGGATGATGAGCAGGCCGGCTGAGATTTAGACAGAGAAGAAACATCGACTGCAGTGGAGAAGACGAGCTCTTTAATCCTCTGTCAGAAGGAGTGGAGCAGGGGAGTGAAAAGGATAGAGAAGGCTTTCATTTCTGTTCTACTTTCATAAAGCTTTTCATATCAAAACACAAAAGGAGGAATAAATAACTAATAACACCTGAAAGAGTCACTGACATTCCCACATCCACCTACAAGTACATGTTTCCAACACATGGAAACACACAGACACGTAGCACAAGTGATTCTATACATTGCATGTGATTGTTACAGAAAGAAGTCTATATGTGCGATATGTACTGTAAGGTCATCAACCTTCATTTTGCTGTCTGGAGCTGGTTGAGACCACTACTCGAGGCTTAAAACAACTTCCTGCCACAAGTTGTCATAGGCACAGGGGAAATGGCATGACAACAGCTCTTTATTTTGCTATGACATGCTTTTAGCAGAGAGACAAATGACGACTAATTATGCAGAGTGTGACCTTCTCAAACCTTACCTCATCTAGTGACTCAAAAGTCGATTTCAAATCAGTTTCAGCTGCAACAAAACACGCTCACTGTTTAAATACTTTCACTTTCCAATGGACACAAAGCAGATAAAATAATATTTTAAAAACATATTCAGGAGTTTTGACATTTACTGATCTCAAACCATAACATCCAAATCAAATAAAGAGACCCTGTTTAAAAGTTGAATGGTACAAGGCGAATGGTTTTTATGGTCTTCATCTACAACTAGAAATATTAAAGGGGAGGGTTGCAGAGTATTAACCTGCCATTCATCTCTGGCATAACTTTTAATGCATCAGCTCATGCCACGAAGCAAACTGAGTGTTCTCATATTTCTAAGTGCCTCCAAGACCAGTGCCAAATTTACCCAAAGCTGAACCCCATTTATCATCACAAATGTGCTCTCTGCTTTGGACCTCACTGGTCCTTTAAAAACTAGATTTCACTCTGGTACATCTACTAGTAGAATCTATTTGTTATTTTTTATTTTTTATTGGTTATTTTAGAAAGAGACGTTTTTATCTATGGAGGGAGTGGGTTTGAGGCTGCCATTTTTCTACAGCAGCCCAGAATGGACAAACCAAACATTGGCTCTAGACAGCTTTAACAGTTTTCATGAGTTTTGCTGGCCCACCAAATTTTCTTCTACATGCTTAGGAAGGCATGCAGTATTCAGTTGGTTGCAATTCTGCAACTTCAACTGCTATCCTACACACTGGTCCTTTTACAACATGGTTAAAGAAGTAAAAAATCACATAGTAAAGGCTATATTTAAATGTATTACCTAAGTCATGCTTTAGTAGTTTCAGAGTTTATACATATTATTTACCTGCGCTGCCTCCCAGCCCCACTGCCGATATTTGGGATCGTGGGTGAACCTCCACATGTACCAGTAGGTCTCGATGACCTCCGGCCGCAGGATGTAGTACTTCTCATTCTGCCGTACGGCCACCGCCTCAAGGCCGCTGTCGAACTTGAAGGCCTCCGGGCCGAGCTTCAACACTTGAGGTGAGAAGAGAAAGGTGGAGGTGGAGAAAAGTAAATAAATAAAAGGGAGGCAACAACAAAAACAAGAGGGATAGAGGGAGAGAAGAAAAATGAAAGGGATTGGAGAGACAAAGGAAGGTAAAAGCAAGAGAATGATTAAGAGAGGAAAACAGAAAAGTGAAAATAAATATTATCTTTTGTTTCTTGTTTGTCTTTATGGTTCATTTGATGGTGATTGCAGGTCAGAGCTGATATGAATTAGTCCTCTGCGTCTGTGTGTGTGTGTGTGATAAAGCAATAAATAGCCTCCGACACCATTGATTTTACAGGGTTTTCATCTTAAGTGTTTTTTTGTCAATTAAGTGTGATAAGCATTAAGAATCTAACTGTGGAAAATTACTGAGAAGCTGAAGAGGCGGTGACATGACTGTCTGAAAGGATTAAAACACACACACACACACAAAATGGTTGCCGTAAATGACTGCTCATTAAAAACTAACAGGCCAACTTTAGACAGCCTGACCGTTTCTATCAAACTTGCTGCCCTCCCTCTCCCTCTCTCTCCATCTTCATTTGTTGCCACGGCAACCTCTTCTCTTTCTCAGAGCAACCTCACGACTTCTGACTACACTTATACACATGCACGCACAAGCACACAGACTTATACATACAATCATGATGCAAGATCACACACTGGTGTTCCTTTGCTGACAACTATTGATCCTCTCTGGAAAACATTCCAAGCAGGTATTTTGAAAGGTCTCCTTTGAATTGTGATGATACATTTACGCTTCCAGCAAATGAAAATGTAATACCTGCTGAAAAACGTGACCACTTATGTACCAGTCTCGAAAAAATACAGCCATTCCCAAGATTGATACAATGAAGTTATTGTCCTTTAGGTAATTAAGTGTTTTCGTCAGTGTGATCCTTTTCCCTTTTTCCTGATCCTCTGTTTGTTTCTTTTTTTAAACAAAATGAGTCAAATAAAAATGAAAGTCTGGTTCGATTAGCTTATTTTGAGACATGACAGCAATGATGAGTGGCTATCATGGCTTAAATGTATTAAACACTCATTGTAATCAAATGTAAAATAATATAAACCAATTACTTTACAGATGTGGCATAATGCCAGTTCTAGTCATACTATCAGTACACATGTGTTTGTGTATGCAGTCCCCCCTCGCCCTCCTCACCCGTCCTGTCGTAGGACTCGTGGCAGGTGTGTGCAATCTCAGCTCCCAGCTGCAAGTAGTGTCCGGCCTTGTCGTCGGGTGAGCCGTCAGCGCCCAAAGCAAACATGCCGCCGGCAAAGCAGGCCAGGTGGCCCATCTTCCTCTCCAGGTGGCCATTCTTCCACTCACCAATGAATGTCAGACCGCCGTTGGATTTGCGTATCAGGTGGCGCTCGATGGCCTGAGAAAGGGAGTGTGTGTGTGTGTGTGTATTTGTATACAGGTAGTGATTGAAATGGTGATGATGTGATTGGGTGGAAATGTGGACATTTGAGGGTATATGGTCAGAAGTGAAGTGTAAATGTGTGAGTGTGTATAAAGGGGATTAAGTTGTGTGAATGTGGCATTGGCATTGAGTGTGTATGAGGGTGGGGAGGGTCAAACAGGAGAAAACAGAACAGGGTGGTGAGTGCACAATTTACAATCCAGCCACATCCCACCTCCTTCACTCTGTAGCATCTGTTCGGCTCACTCTCTGACACTCTTAATGACTGACAGACAACTTCATCAGCCATAGACCACTAACACCTGCTTCCTGCTAACTCCAAAGAAGAAGAAGTAGAAGAAGAAGAAAACGTCTATTTTTGTAAAGATGGGCAGAGAGTGTGGTTATTGTTTTCAAAATCATTGCTGGTTATTAAGAAAGGATAACAATTACAGTTAGATGGTACTTGCTTACTTGAGTCTGGTTTTATGTATTTATCTATTTTTGTCCTTTTGTGTCCCCAAAGATTGCAGCCCGTTTCGCAAATATTTACACATCTACTCTGTGAATAAGGGTTTATTTTCACTTAAACCAGACCAGTATGGTCATGGTGGAGAAGTACTGTGGCGAGGACTTAACTTGTGGATTTTTGTTAAGTTTGTTTCGTATGGGATTAGGTCTGAGGATTCGCTGGGTCCGGAAGTGCAACAATTAATCTTTACATATTTGTATAGATTCTTCAGATTATGCACACTGACAGTTAGCAGCTGGTATGTCTGCACTTTACCTCGATGGCGTCGTCATAGGTCTTGCGGGCTTCTGTATCTGTCTTGTCTGACATGAGCCATGCCTTCAGCAGATACTCGTAAAAACTGTCCCCAAGTCCTCCAACTGAGGTGTGATCTGTAGAGAGGGAGGCAAAAAGAAGAGTTAAACAGAGTGGAGTGGAGGGACACGAAGTGGACAGAGTGTGACAGACAAAGAGGAAGAGGAAGAGGAAAAACAGAGACATGGACAATTGAGAAATCTAGAAAGAACGTCCTTGGCAGAGCGCAACATATGGCATCAAAAGCATCTATCGAGGCCCTGGGTGGCTTTTCTTCTCTACGCCCACAATAAATTGGCAGCACGTTTCCTCTCATTTCCCGTTTGTTTACCCTTTCCCTGATGTGCTCACATTTCAACGTCCCCAATCGCCCTCATGAAAGTTTACACAGCTTTCATGGCTGTCCTAATTTGCTGGACACCACGTAGAGAGGATGGGTATGCGGCCAGCATTCACTCTGATCAGACTAAGAAAATAACTTATTTTCTCTAGAGGGAGTTTTGAGCCTACTTTATCTAATTATTATTGGCACTTTGGTCTATTTCAGGTGCAATTTCACTGGCCTATAAAACATTATTTACTATAATAGCAAATAAAAAACATTTGAGCAAGATTTGAGAGAGTATTACTGTAACAGCAGTACCCAAATCATAAGATAATGTAAATTGAATTTTCTGATTATTGAAATGTTCTATTTTATAATGGTATCTTCTTTTAAATGGTAAATGGACTGTACTTATATAGCGGCCTTTTAGTCTTTCAACCACTCAATGCGCTGTACACTACATGCCACACTCACCCCATTCACACACATTCATACATTGATGGCAGTGGCTGGCATTCAAGGTGCAGACTGCTCACCAGAATGGAAACTAATCATTTATGCACACTCATACACCAGCATCGGGAGCAATTTGGGGATTCAGTGTCTTGCTCAAGGACACTTCGACATGCAGTGAGAGGAGCGGGGGATCGAACCGCAAAACTTTTTGGTTATTATAACTTTTTACAGCTTCAGCAGATACACAGGGTTACTTTGAACTGAACAAATTTAGTAGATATATGGCAAAATACCAAATTTCAGGAATCAAATTTCTCCTCTTATGATCTTGAAAGTGTAGTTGGGGAAGCAATCTTGGATGAAAATATGTGTACTTAGCTCTGACTTCATTGGGTGAAGCCGGAATATTCCTCATCCTCTACGTATAACTACCTCCTCAGCTCTACGTAATCATATTCGGTATCTGAGCAGATTGCTTTGTGTCTCATCTGAAGGGATTCTTTTCTGTATGTGATTAACATGCCCGTAGGTAAATGGAGGGATACGCAAAGACGGGGAACGAGAAAGATGAAGAAGCCATGAATTATTCATATTTTGTCACAGAGAGCTCACAAACAACCTTGAAACCATTACTGAGGCCTGAGTGTGATGGTGTGTGTTCATGTCTGTGAATGTACATATGGGTGACTAAGTTTGTATATTTACACAGATAAAGTAGCTGAGCGCTAGTGTGTATGAAACTCATTTAAATAAGCACGTTGAGTTGATTGGTACAGATTTACACAATTTGGGAACAAAATTAATTAATAAACCAGTTGAAATCCTTTTGAAACTGTTATTCTAATGTTATGTAAATAAGTCAATTTGGTAGAATAAAATCATTTACCGTTGGTGAGCCAACCAAAGAGACCCTAGATCAATTATATGCAAGTCTAGTATCTGCACTGGCATTTTTGCTGCAATAGATGTTGTACTTTGCACATGTTTTATGATATCCCTAACAACAGTAGCAGGTGTTCACACAGCATCAGCTGCACTAAAACACTTACAATGACCCAGACTTCCTCTGGGGTGTTCTGGCTTTTATTTGGCAGTTAATGATGCGTGTGTACAAATGAAATGTTTTCTTCAACATAGCATAGACGATGTTATTTAAAAAAATAACCACCAGACCTAGATACATTTTGTATTCATCTGGAGTACTTCCGCTCTGCCAGCCTCTGGCAGGTCACCAGCCCTCTTCTGGTGGCTCTGTTCCACCTCAAATTATCGTACTTGGTTGGGGAAGTGCTGAAAGTGTCATGAGGGTATTTTTGAATCTGGTAGTTTTCATATCATGATTGTAACAACACTGTACCTTGGCCACCTTGGCAGACAGAGAACATGTTTGTGAAGCTCCTATAAGTTTCTAATCTGAGTCTAGAGTGTCTGGGTTCACCTTTAGGTTAATGGTGAGCAGCTCAGAAACCCCAAACACATCAGTGTAGAACCACTGATACTTTGCTTAGGTTCAGAAATCTAAACAGGATGCCTCTCTGACCCTTCCATGCAGAGGTTTTCTGGGCATGTCCAAGTAGGAGGAGACCCAAGGGCTGACCCAGAAAAGCTGGATAGATTTCATATTGCATTCTTCGTCTTTTTCATGATCGTCATCGGTCACTACTA